TAATTTATATATAATAATCTCAAAACTAACATAATTTATTAAAAGCTCTTTTCCTCTTCAGAATTTATATGAACTCCAGTCGACACCCAACACAGTCTTGAGCCACCGGCACCACACATTTCTTTTTCAGTTTTTTCATGCCTCTTCAAAATTGAATTGAAATCCATTATACCAAATCGAAGACAAAGAGATCCTAAATTTTTGGTGATAATATTTGCTACGAATAAAGTTTCATATCAATAATTTTTTTGGAGCAAACTAAGGTAAGAATCTAAAATTAAATGTGATTCGTAATATCATACAAATATAAACTTGTGTAATTGTTATATTTAGATATTATAAACAATTGTTTTATTATTGTGGTTGGTTATTCTCTTTGTCTAATTAGTATTCTTTTTTCAGATATGATCACGAGGTCTTGTTGGACATCATTATATTTTTTGGGCGTTATATCTAGTTTAGTATACTTGTATTATGACGTTATTATATCGTCATTAGCTTAAAAAATGTGAACAAAAATGAAAAAAAAACTATATTTTAGTTTATTGTGATTTCACTTTGATTTAGTTAGTATTTAAATTTATAGTAGATATATTTAGGCCCCGTTTGAGCCATATTTTTCATATCATCATAATGAGAAAACTAATTGCTGAAGAGGAGGCTGGATCCCACAAATGAAACAGCAAGTCAACAAACATGGGGGGATTCAGCAGTGGGCTGCACTTGGCTGCAGCCCACTGTCTTCCAGGCCAGATACAACAAAAAAAAGGGTTTGAACTTTAATTATTCAGCCACATTAGCCAACTAACAAATAAATTGAGTGGGCTAGCCCACTTCAAAAAAAAAAATTCTTTAATTTGTAGCCCACTAACCTATATAATTTTAGGCCTAAAATAATACCCATTCCATTAGTAATTACCGTGTAATCAAATAATTAATCCCCAATTCCGAAACATTTTCTATTCCCGTCATTTGCAAAATCAACTCACAGAAGTCCCAAAAATAAAAAATCAAAATCCCTATCTTCACTTTGCTGGCTTGCCGTGCCCGTAGCCGTCGTCCAAACAGAATTGTCGATTGGCCTGACTCACTTCTGGCTCATGAGTGACGGACTCGCACAGTCGCACCAATTCGCCGCCTCAAGCCTGGCTACCGAAGACTTGGGTTAGGTTTTAGGGTAAGTAATTTACTAATTAGTTTCTTAGAATTTGAAAATCTTTCAATATCTTTTCAATTAATTATACTTGGTTTGTTGTATTGAAAATCTTTCAATATCTTTTCCATTCCTGTCATTTGCAGAAGAAATAATTAAATTTGTTCGAGATGTTGGTCATTGGAAATTTGGAATAATTAATTATACTTGGTATTTTGGGTTATTGCCTTATTGGATAATTATTACTTATTATGTTTCTTGTTCAATTGTTTGTCTTTTAATTATGTGAGAACGGGAACAGCCGAACAGGGAACTGAAATTTTACTCACTTGATGGAATGAATGAATGATGGTGCTTATAGTTGAAATGGAATGATTGCCCCTTAAAAAAAATTGAGTTCTTTCACTTCTTTGCATACCTTTGATACCTATGTAACCTATCAACGTTATATCAGAGCATATAAGTCCCAGTTCAAGTCTTGGCACTAAATGATATTCAAAATTGTTCGAATCTTGGAATAATGGAATTTGTAATTTCAGCTTTCTAGTTGCTAATTTTTGTTTAACAGATTGAGGATTCAATTAGGAAGCATTTTTTGCTCTCTGTTTACTTGTTTCAATTGAATCAATTCTCTCTTATCTTATAGTATATACTATAAAATTTAGTTTGTAGTTGGTAAGGGTGTGTTTAAGAGTTTTTACATTTTAAGTACTTTGATTGTTGGTCAGTAGGAAATCCTTGTCATTTTTAAGCCAATTGTTAATATGAATATTTACTTATGAAGCATTAGTAATTCTTAGTTTTTCGGATTTTTTTATTTAATTGTAAGTGAAGCATTTTGATTCTTTGAAGTATTGTGCCATTTGTTAAGAAGAGGGTCCAAAGGTTGCTGAACTAGTTGAAAAGATTTAAGGTTGGTTATCTGACTTTGGATAAAAAATCCCATTTCATAGCAAACAGTAAATTGGTTTTATGGTTATGATTTTATCAATTTATATTTATGCCTTTATGGGATATTGAAGCATTTTGATTTTTATGATTTTAGATTTAATATGGAAGAAGATCGACCTTCTACCAAGAAAGGTAGAACCTTGTTGTCTTTCTTTTCAAAAAGTAACAAATCTCAGGATTCTCCAATTCCTACGGTGCCCATTCCTCCAATTTCATGCCCTGAAGTTGAACGGCCTTCATCTTCAAATCTTAATTTTGAACCATCTGATTCTATTGACCAGGACCCTGGAAAAAGAAAGCAAATATGTGAACATCCATTTAATGAACGCGATCAGATTAGGCGGGCCTATCTAAATGTTGGACCTTATCAATCAAAACTTTTGGAGTATCAGAGCAAAGAATGTGGAAAGCAGAATCGATTTCAGGAACGTTGGTATAATTAGTTTCCTTGGTTGGAATATTCACCTTCAACACATAAGGCATATTGTTTTTACTGCTTCCTTTTTCTCAATGATAGTACTCCACCTAATATTTCATCATTGATTACTGTTGGATTTGATAGTTGGAAGAGGGTTAACCAAGGAAGTAAATGTACATTTCTTATTCATGTTGGTACAACATCGTCATCGTTTCATAATAGCTGTAAGAGAAGAGCTGAAGATTTAATGAAACCAACTCAACATATTGACAAGGTAATGCATTTTGTATAGAAAAATCGTTTGCGTCTAAAGACCACTATTATGAGTGTTAAATGGTTAGCTCTTCAAGATTGTTCCTTGAGAGGCCATGACAAATCTCCATCTTCACTGAATCGTGGGAATTTTATTGAATTGGTAGATGCATTTGCAAAAATGAATATTGAAGTAGGAAAAGTTGTGTTGAGTAATGCTCCCAAAAATGCTACATACACGGCTCTAGACATTCAAAAAGAAATTTTGAGCATTATGGCCAATAGAGTACTACAAGGAATTCGTATGGAAATTGGGGATGAAAAGTTTAGTATTCTTGTTGATGAAGCACGAGATGAATCTTCACGAGAACAAATGACTATTATCCTAAGGTTTGTGAACAGTAATGGAATTTTCACGTAACTTTTTTTTGCAATTAAAAGTGTTAGTGACACTACCTCATTAAATCCTAAGAATCAGAGTTCTGATGTTCTTATTCATTTCAACCTTTAAGTACAAAACATGAGAGGCCAAGGGTATGATGATGCTAATAATATGCGTGGTTCTTGGAATGGACTGCAGACATTGTTTCTTAAAGATTGTTCATATGCATACTATGTTCATTGTTTTGCCCATCGTTTACAACTCACATTGGTTTCTGCACCTAATGATGTCTCAGATTTTAATTTATTTTTTTCTCATTTGGACAATGTTATTAATATGATTACATCATCTCCTAAACGCATCAATGAGTTGAAAAGTGCCCGAAGAAAAGAAATTGAGCATTTGTTAGAAATTGGAGAATGAGGGTCTGGAAGTGGTGCTAATCAGATTGGTAATTTGCAACGAGCCGGAGGTACTCGTTGGTCTTCTCATTTCAGCTCTGTAAAGAGTTTGATTGATATGTATGCTGTAACTTGCAAAGTGCTTGAGTATCTTAGTGATCATTCTCCAAGTACAAGATCTCGATAATTTAATATGGATAATATTTGCAAACTTGCAGAGAAGTTTTATCCTGAATATTTTAAACAGCAAGATATTTATTGTTTGAAAGTTGAGTTGCAACACTATCAGAATGATGTGATTTCTGAACCTCGATTTCAAGTACCTATACTTTCTGATTTTTGTCGAAAATTGGTTGCAAGTAGAAGGCGGGAGAGTTACGTCCTTTTAACTAAATTGATTTGTTTAGTACTGACACTACCTATTTCAACGGCGACTATGGAGCGAGCATTTTCAGCAATGAAACATGTGAAGACGAAAATTCGTAACAAAATGGATGATGATTTTCTTGCTGATTGTTTAACACTAAACATTGAACGAGAATTTAGTATGAATTTAGATCTAGATTCTATTATAGATAATTTTTATGCTGTAAAACATCGTCGAGTACAACTTCAATAAGTAACTTATATTATAAATTTTTCTTATTATATATAAATTTTATTCGTACATTAAATTTTTTAAATTTTTAGCCCATCGTAACAGTAATTTTTGGCTCTGCCCCTGTCAACAAAGGTGGCTGAACCTGTTGGATAACTGTCTAAATTTTCATTTTTTTTATCCCAAAAATTTGGTTCAAATAGGGGCTTAATTTGTTTTAAATTTATTGCTAGTAAGATATAAATATATATTGAATTTAATGAATTACTGATATAAAAGTAGACATGCAAAAAAAAATATGGCGAAATCGACGGTTATAATCAGACCAAATCGTTAGATTTAGGTTTGAATTTTTTTAAACCGTCCAAAATAATTTGGTTTAAGTTTGAGTTTTTCTCAAACCGGTTTAAACGGTTTGGTTTGAAAATTTGTCAAAAATTGATAAAATCAGACCGTTTACACCCCTAGTGGATATGGCGATAGTAAAACGACAACGAAAGCTTTAGAGAGAGGAAAAGATAGTTACGTTAGGGGGTGATGGAGGACTTGTGGAGTGGTTGTAGGGATTATCCATCTAATGCGCATGCTAGCATCCACCCATGCAACCACTTAATTCTTTTCTCACTGCAATTATTGTTGCTACTAAAAGTGTGTTTGATTGACATAGAAAATATCATATAGAAAAGAAAATATTTTTCATCTTTTGAAGAAAATAAAAATCACATCTATCCAAAGAAAATATTTTCCTTAAAAACAAGAAAAATTAGGCATATTTTCAAAAGTTGGAAAATGTTTTCTATGAAAAAAATAGCAATCAAATACTCTAAGTAGGAATTTGGGTGAAAAACTGATATTTTTCATGAAAAATAAATGTAATCAAACACACCCTAAATTCAAAGTCTATATGCTACCTCATGATATCAACCACTCCACCTTGCTATCGTGTGCTTCGTATTCATCCCCCATTAGCGCAGAGAACACTCGTCCATTTTCCCTCCTAATTCTTCGTTCGTTTATATCTCTTTCAAAAAAATAGCAATCAAATACTCTAAGTAGGAATTTGGGTGAAAAACTGATATTTTTCATGAAAAATAAATGTAATCAAACACACCCTAAATTCAAAGTCTATATGCTACCTCATGATATCAACCACTCCACCTTGCTATCGTGTGCTTCGTATTCATCCCCCATTAGCGCAGAGAACACTCGTCCATTTTCCCTCCTAATTCTTCGTTCGTTTATATCTCGTTCAATTTTCTCTGCCGTCTTGCTAACATGCGCCTCCTCAATCAAATCCTCTACAACCACCACTGTTCTTTTACACTTTATCTACATAACTCAACCCGCATCCTATTTTTCTTATTGAAGTTTTGTTTTTTACAGCCAAGATGAAAACTTTTTCATCTGCAACCTCAATATCGCCTTGCTAAGATAATCCCTCACCACCGCCAGCAGAACAAATCTATAGATCTGCGACGCCCCCATGTTGGCACGTGCGCCATTTGTTTTGAATTCGCTTTTCGGCCACTTATCTTCATCTCGAAACAAGATATGTCATCCATCACGTCGGCCACATCTCTTGCGGTGGCGGCCACGGACGCGACAGAAAAACCTCCATGGAGATTTCCACTGCCTTGCTGAACCCAAGAGGAAACACTGGCTCTAACGCACTCCGAAGAGGTTACTTGCGCATGAAGAACTCGGATGCAGTGGCCACCATTATCAATAGCCGCTTCTCAGATGCCTCCATTCCCAAGACCTCAGCGCAGTGCCGCCACAAGATGGAGAAGCTCCGCCAGCGCTATCGCGCTAAGAAGCAACGATCTCTTTCCTATCCATACCCAGCCAGTCGTTTCATCTTCTCCTGGTTCTTCTTCGACTATATGGATGCCATGGAGAACAAAACAAACCTTCCCTCGGTTGAAACTGTATCGGGTGATAATTTCAATAATACTGCCCTACTGAAATCATTTCTCGATCAGAGCATATTGAAACTGAAGCTCAAATCGAAGAACAGTGTCAATTCTAGCCCCATTTTGGTAGCAAAAAATTTCGAACATACTTCATACTTGGACACGGAAGACAATAAAGCGGAGCATGATCATACCAGTTTCGGAGCTAAATTTTGTTCTGAAAAGATAATGGGAGGATTTTCAATGCCTCCTGTGAAGTTTAAAGCAAAGAATTCCAATATCAGCGATGGGTTTTATAGCGGAAATCCCTCGATAAATCTTGATTCCGGGCTCAGAAAATAATCAAACGAACACCGATTTACTTTGACTCGACCCAAGACTTTCGCCTTACACTTTGGACTGCCCAAACTCTTTCAAACCCCACAAAGGAGAAGGGTGGTGATGTTAGCAATCCACAAAGGTATGGAGAGGAAAAAGAAGATATCACAGTGGTTGAATCTCACTCACAACCTCACATGGTTCCCTCTCTCTCGGCTGTCTCTCTTCTCTCAACTCTCCTCTCCATTGCAACAACACACACACACACACACACACACACCAAAAAGGCTGGGAGATATAGGTTAGTTTAGGTCACTCCAATTGAGCCTAGGGTTCACTAAGAGGGCTACCAATTAACCTAAACTAATGGGTCAATATTCAACTCTATATTAATCACTAAATGGTCCAACTAACCAAATAATCATCCAACCCAAATCCGAGCCATCCAAAAGTGTAGTTCGTCTCCAAGTCCATGGTGTCGATAAATAATCCGACAACTATTTTAAATCATTGCCCGAATTATTGGGTATCAAAAACCCAACAGGTTTCTTATGAAACCTTCTAGAAATGAAGATGTGATCCCCCCAGGATTAAGAACCAAGAAGTTGGACGGAAGAATGAATTTTGATTTTAACAATGGAGATGAAGAATACTACGGTTTGAGAGGTAGTGTGAAAGCCATGAAGAGGGGGAGGTATCCGGTGGAGGAAATGGTGGAATCCATGAAGTCATTGGCAGAAAGATTGGTGACAATGGAGAAAGCCAAGGTGGAAATGGCTAGAGAAATGGAAATGGAGTTGAACCGCAATGAGATGATACTGGACTCATAAAGACAAATTGTGGATGCTTTTTTCAAGGGATTATTCCATCACAAGAAGCCAAAAATTGCCACCGTTTCATCGGATTCGTAGTTGTTCGTTCTCTGTTTCTTGTGTAAATTGTTGTTTTTGGATCTAAAAAAGTTATAATTTGTAAAAGTGGGCTTCTCATCTTCTTGTGCTGAGCACATTTTGTTGATGGCTCAATATTAATTGGGCTACGGCTTCAAGTCCGATCCAGGTAGAATGATTCATGTTCATTCTCAAATGTCAACCCCAAAGAAAATGAATTTATCTTTGGGGAAATTATAGAATTTCCTACTTTAAAAATTCACAATTCTAAAATAGGATAGATAGTTTAACCTTTCAAAAATTAGAGGTTTTATTTTAATTAATATATTTTAAAATAAATATTTTTACTAAATATATATACTCCATTACATACACAAACCCTAATTAATTCCCAACTTTCTCTTTCTCTGCATTTCTCACTCGTCTCACACACTCTCTATATTCCTTGAAGAAAACGTAACAGTGGCGAATCTGCGTGGTGGTGGGGAAGATGTGGTGTAGTGGTTGCGTGGTGGTAGCAGATCTGTGTGGTGTGGCGATTGTGTGGGAAGATGATGTTTAGTGGGTAGATGTGGTGTGGTGATTGCATGGTGGTGGTGGATTTGAGCAGTCAGAATTTGCATGGTGACGGCGGATCTATGTTGTGGTGTAGTTGTTGCTTGATGGTGGTGGATCTGCATAGTGTGGGGGTGTGGTGTGGTGATGTGTGGCGATGATGTGATGATTTTGTTTGAGAGAGTGGTGTTGCTGTATAGTGATGGCGGTGGTGGTTCAAGCGGTGATGGTGGCGTTGGTGATGTTGGAAACAGCGATTGTTTGGTAATGGTCACAAATTTATTGGTTAATTGTGACCATTCAATTGGTTAATTTGTGACCAGTGTGACCAATAAGAAAGATAAATTGTGACCAAAAAATAATGCATGATCTAAAATATTAATAATTTGTGACTATTTAATAAGTTGTGACATATAATATTTATGATTTGTGATCTATAAATTAATGTGACATATAAATTTTTT